GGAAGGAGGGCTGGGGGGCGGCCTGCAGCCGGCTCCTTTCTCCTGCTCGGGCCTGGGGGGCTGATGCGGAGGGTGGGGGCGGTTGGCGTTTGCTCTTCCCCCTCAGTTGGGGGTTTTCTCACGCAGTCATAGAGTACACTGGACATTCCTGTACTTGGAGCCGGACAGGGCTGGGCGTGCGGGTGGGTACCCGTCTCCACCGCGCGGGCTGTGCCGTGTGCCGGGCGCGCCACTCCCTCCTGCGAAGGTCTGGCACCGCACCCATGGCCCCCTCCTTCCCCATCACTACAGGAGCCGCTTCTCGGAGCAGCTGTAGGGTGGAAACGCTGTCCCAGCTTCCTTAGGTGGCTCCAGATGCCGCCTGGCCGGAAGAAAAAAAACTATCCCGGTGGGGGGGTAGGGGGGAAGGGGGAGAAGCCTACGCAAACGCAATCTGGTCAGATGGTAGTCCCTCAATACCAGACAACTGAGGACCCTGAATATCCTGTGGCCAGAGTACTGGGTTCACCAACGTGTCCTGAAAATGCCAGGAAACTCGGCTCTCCCCTTCACACTAAACAATATACATTTTATATAATTTCTTATATAATCAAAGGCTAATATGCAAATTGTCCCCTCTGGAGTTTGACCAACCTGGAGTTGGGCTGCTTGCTATGACGGGCAGTGACCACCAGGGGCAGCACAGACTGAAGGAAGGCTCCAGCCGACAACCAGGGGAAGGAAGACCCAGATAGGCTCTGATCGCTGCCCAGTCCTAGGGACCCCATCTGTGCACAAATTTCATGCACGGGGACTCTAGTATTAAATAAATAAATCCCAACTCCAAACACCGTGGATCCAATTTCTTTCTAGTAGTAGCCACGCATCCCTGGGGCTTGGGGACATTTTTAAATACTTTCTGCAACAACTGTGGGCTGTGGTTAAGAGATGGTGTTAGTCCACCTATAACATGAGATGTGTGCAGAGGTTCTGCCCTTCTCCCTTCCAGGAGGTTTGCAGTCTGCCTGCACAAGTAGAACAACCATTTTTAAATAGCAGCCTCTTGCAAGAAATTCAGAAAGGGGTTAAAGACCAAAAGAAGTAAAACAGCTCTGGATTGTGTTTCCATGGTGGTTTCTGACCCTATTCAAGGGTCACAAGTATTTTTGAGGAAACAAAGGAGGTGTTTCCTATTGATAGTAATCAGAACCCTGGTACCCAGTCAAAGCCATTTGTGAGTTTAGATCACTAGAAAGGGGTTGCCTAAGAGACTGATGTGGAACTGATGACATCGCAGATCCTCAGCTTCCTGGATTAGGCCATGCCCTCAGGGTGAGAATCATGAAAAGAAGGGAGAGGGGGAAAGGAGAGAGGAAAGGGAGGCAGGAGAAGTTTATGAATGGGAATGAAAGCAAAAAGAGAATAAATCACACTCAGAGTGCTGCTGTCCTTTCCCACAGCTGTACCTTCACAATCTTCAAAGATCCCCATGGAAATGAGTTGGCTGGATTTATAGCAAGATGTAGTAGGCAGTGCCTGTCCTCAGAAACCAATTCAGGCCTGGCTGGCATGGCCCAGTGGTTGAGCATGGACCTATGAGCCAGGAGGTCACGGTTCGATTCCCAGACAGGGCACATGCCCAGATTGCAGGCTCAATCCCCAGTGTGGGGCTTGCAGGAGGCAGCCGATCAATGATTCTCTCTTCATTGATGTTTCTCTCTCTCCCTTTCCCTTCCTCTCTGAAATCAATAAAAATATATTTTAAAAAAGAAAGAAACCAATTCTGTCCCACATCTCTAACATATGCTCTCCCAGGGCCGGAACTGCTTCACCTGGGTCATGGGGGCTGTGTGTGCAGGGATGTCATCTGTGATCTAAAAGTTCCCTTCTCCAGTTCTGAGGTCCTCTAAAAAGGAATGAGCTTATAGCTTTCAATAGCTCATAACTCGTTCATCCAAGAAAATGGTCATTATCTCCATTGCTCTTATAAATGTGGACATGCTTCTGGTCTCTCCTTCCCCGCCCTCCTGCCTTCCTCACTTCCTTTTCTCCTTCCTAATTGTGATCTATATCCCTCTAAAATATGGCAAAATTAAGGAACAAGCCAGAATAGCCTGCCTCCCTCTCCAATTAATTAAATAACAATCAGCCACATCTATTGAACATCAACTATATGCCCAGTGTTGTGATAGGCAGTGTCAAGTACAGCAACTACCACCGCTATATGACAAGGGACTGCTCTGTGCTTATTATAATGGTAGATATTTCACAAACATCATTTAAGCTTCACAGTAACCCTGTAAGGGATTGAGTCTAATTTTACAGATGCTGCTGGTACAGGGACCAAACTGCATATTACTAATCTTATTCATCTAGACCAGTGGTCGGCAAACTCATTAGTCCACAAAGCCAAATATCAACAGTACTTCTTCAAATAAGACTCGCCCAGGCCAAAAACCGACTTCTGCGCATGAGCCACGAAGTTTCAATCGCACTGTACGTGCGCCTGCACGTGGTATTTTGTGGAAGACCCACACTCAAGGGACCAAAGAGCCGCATGTGGCTCACAAGCCACAGTTTGCCAACCACAGACCTAGACCATTCTCTTCTTTCAGATAAGGGTTCACCTGAGTTTACAAAGAGAAACCATTCTCCAAACACTGCCAAGGGAGATTCCACCTCCCTGTTAGTGGACTATCAGTACTGCCTCTGACATTGAAGGAAAAGACAAAGGACCCCCCTTGGGTGCCCCATGTGAGGATGAGGGATGCCTGAGGCACCACTGGGGGGCCACCTAGTTTAGTCTAGATCAGTGGTTCTCAAACTACAGAATCACTGTCCAGGTGATTTTTTTAAAAAACCCGGGTCCCTAACCCCATTTCCGGAGATTCTGATTCAGTAATGTGGGAAGGGACCTGAGAATCTGCATGTCTAACAAGTCCCAGGAATTCTGATGCTGCTGGTCCCAGGACCACAGTTTGGGCACCACTGGCTACAGCAGGGCTCTTCATACTGAGGCTGCAAGCCACAGTGTGATACAACGTTTATATCATGACACATAGACATACATACATGTAATTAAAACAAAAGTTGTATGGAACAATTTTTTCCTTACTACATCTGAAACCCTGAAATACTCTCTATTCTATTTTTTTTTTCAAAACTAGTCCAAATTGGGGAGATATGTATTTGGAAAGTATGGTATAGTAGTTATGTAAGAAAATGTCCTTATTCTCTTAGAAATGTACACTGAAGTTTTAGAGATGAGATGCCATTATCTGTAATTTCAACTACCCAAGAGAATACATGAGTTAAATACTGGTAGGATAACCTGGAGTTGTGAGCCCAACTGTTCTAATATGCAGGACCAGACAGTGATTCTGGTCTGAGAGGGTCACACCACGTGCCACCTACTACACAAATAACTGGATAGGTGAACCCGATAAGTGAAAAAGTCACCTGAATCAAAACAACAATGAGGTGCCATCTCACACCTGTCAGAATGGCTATCATCAACAAATCAACAAACGACAAGTGCTGAAGAGGATGGAGAGAAAAGGGAACACTCGTGCACTGCTGGTGGGAATGCAGACTGGTACAGCCACTATGGAAGACAGTATGGAGTTTCCTCAAAAAACTGAAAATGGAACTCCCGTATGCATATTAGCATAACTAATGGACACAGACACTGGGGCTGTGGGGGATTGCCCTTGGGGGTGGGAATGGCTGCAGGGGGTGGGGTGGTCAATTGGGAAAAAGGAGATGTGTAAAACTTTAGACCAGTGGTTCTCAACCTTCCTAATGCCAAACCCTTTAATACAGTTCCTCATGTTGTGGTGACCCCCAATTTCATTATTACAAATTGAACATAATTAAAGCATAGTGATTAATCACAAAAACAATATGTAATTATATATGTTTTCCAATGGTCTTAGGTGACCCCTGTGAAAGAGATCGCGACCCACAGGTTGAGAACCGCTGCTTTAGACAATTAAAAAAATAAAAAGTCACCTGAGCTCACACCATTCTGACAGTCATTCTACTGTCATCTTCTGTCTCCTAAAATCAGCCTGAATTGCCTTTGCTCCTTTGCTCCAAGATTAGTTGACTATATTTGTGTAGGTCTATATCTGGGCACTTTATTCTGTTTACTTGATCTTTTTGTCTGTTCGTTCACCAAATCCATGCTTCCTTGATTACTTTTTAAGAATTTCTATGGTCAGGGTCTATGTGTATGATATATGTGTGTTTTATTATATTTTATCAGTGTTATACACACTTCATAAATAGAATTTGGAAGGTTCCCTTCTTTTTCTGTGCTCAGGACAGAACAATAGTAATGGACTCATCTGTTCTTTAAAATTTATCAGTAGAATTCTTCTGTGAAATAATACAGACCTGGTGCTTTTGTCATGGAGGTGTGGAGAAAGGCAGTTCTCTATCAACATCTATTTCTTCTATGGTAACTGGTCTATTTAGAATTCCTTCCAGGATGTTTTGATAATTTATATCTTCTTGTAATATCATCCAGGTTTACAAATTTATTTCATAGAGTTGAGTAAAGTAATCCCATACAATTATATTAATATTTTCTATATCTGTAGTTATTTCCTCTTACCATTTTATATTTTGATTGTGCTTCCTGTCTTTCTTAGTTAGCCAACTATCTAGCCCAGGGGTGGGCAAACTTTTTAACTCGAGGGCCTCAATGGGTTCTTAAACTGGACCGGAGGTCTGGAACAAAAGCATGGGTGGAGTGTTTGTGTGAACTAATATAAATCCAAAGTAAACATCATTACATAAAAGGGTACGGTCTTTTTTTTTTTAGTTTTATTCATTTCAAACGGGCCGGATCCGGCCCGCGGGCCGTAGTTTGCC